CAGTCCCACCCTGCAAGCCAGAGTACTAGGTGTCATTCTAGACTCCAATCTGTCTTTCCAGCCCCAGGTCCAATCGCTGACAAATTCATGTAGACTCCACCTCCGCAACATCTCCAAAATACGTCCGTGCCTAACCCCAGAAACTACTAAGCAACTCATTCACTCCCTTATTATATCACGACTTGACTACTGTAACTCCCTCCTCACTGGCTTACCTCATCACAGGCTATCCCCACTTCAGTCTATACTGAATTCTGTGGCCAGACTCATCCACCTTACTAACCGCTCCCTATCCGCCACCCCCCTCTGCCAATCACTCCACTGGCTTCCGATTGCCCAACGCATAAAATTCAAATTACTAACATTGACGTACAAAGCTGTTCATAACACTGCTCCAAACTATATCACCGACCTGATATCCATATACCACCCAAAATGTACTCTCCGCTCCTCACAAGACCTCCCACTCTCTAGTTCCCTGGTCTCCTCCTCCCATGCCTGTCTCCAGGACTTCTCCAGGGCTTCCCCCATCCTCTGGAACTCACTACCCCAATCCATCAGACTGTCACCTACCCTCCTCACCTTTAGGCGCACCCTGAAAACCCATCTCTTCAGGGAAGCCTACCTTGCCCTCACCTAATTGCCAATCTCCTCCACTCTTCCTACCACTCCATCCCCCACAGCTGCTTCCTCCTGTACCACTATCCCCTCCCTCCTAGATTGTAAGCTCCAAGGAGCAGGGCCTTCAAACCCCTCGTGTATTGTATTGTATTGTTACTGTACTGTCTCGTCTACTGTCTCCCATTTTAATGCACAGCGCTCAGCAAACTGTTGGCGCTATATAAATACTGTATAATAATAATAATAATGTCCTTTTTTCCTCACAAATAGAACTTTTTTGTGGTGGTATTTGATTACCTCTGTGTTTTTTATTTTTTGAACTATAAACAAAAAAAGTCTGACAATTTTGACCGTGCCGCACTGTAGCAGTACTTCTGCTATAGGACGGAGAGCAAGTGGTTCACAATCTTACACAACAACAAAACATGGGATAATTTGCTCAGGGGTGGGGGGTCCCTTCTGATCCCCAGGAGGCTATCAGATATTCCCTAGATCAACAATCCCCATGGTTACCTACTGTATATATGTTAGTATCCAGTCAACTTGTTTTACGAGGGGAGTTCAAGTCAAACCGTGGCTTTTAATTTTATAGGTATAAAAAGGGATGCTAGCGTGGCAGTGCTACACGCAGTAGTAAGTGGCAAGCGGGTCCTATTACTGATAGGTGGCGCACATGTCGTGGGCCAGTCCAGAGACCGTTAATCAAGATGGCAGACAGCAGTGTTAGTGTGTGCATGGAACAGCATGTGGTGATGAAGTTTCTTGTGAATGAAGTCGTAAAACCCACAGATATCTACAGAAGACTTCAAGCACAGTACGGTGATGAGGCAGTCAGCCGCAGTAAGACATTTAAATGGTGGAAACATTTCAAAGATGGCTGGTTGTCCATCAGTTATGATCCCAGCCGTGGTGGTTCCCAGCCTACAGCAGTCATTCCTGTGAACATTCAGGAGCCTGAAATTGCACAAAAGATGAATCTTTCTGTTGGGATGATGGACATAATCATTGACAAAGTGAAGCAGGCTGTCCTAGGATGGTTCAGGTGTACTGACAAATCTTTCTATGCCAAAGCTTTCCAGGCATTATGTAAACGCTGTAATATATATATAAATGTAGCAGGAGAGTATGTCAAAAAATAAATGCAGTTTCCAGTCCTTTGAAGTTTGTTCTTTTATTATATAAATTCAAAAGTACCGGTTTGACTTGAATGCCCCTTGTATTTGCATTGGTGGGTTGCTGTTGTCCTCTGCAGACATTCAGGGAAAGGGACAGAGAGCACTTAAAAAATTCCCATATGGGGCACATACATGGCATGCCAAAGCACTGAGCAAACTGTTGGCGCTATATAAATCCTGTATAATAATAATAATAATGCCATGGGTCGTCCACCTTACACTGTAGCTCTGCTCCTACCAGGGCTTACCGGCACTATTGCGAGGCCAGCGATCATTTCAATAAGCACAGATTCTTCACCCCCTTGCAGCCGAGAGCCTGTATATGCTGTCCAACCATAGGAAGACCCATGGTGGTGCTCAGAAATCCCTCACAACATATCTGCTGTGTGTCCAGGAGTGCTACGGCATGGCACAAAATGGCCCCTCTAATCCTCCCATTCCGCAACCTCAACCACTGCTGGAGCCAGATTCGGAGCCTGCATCCACAGCAACAGGTCATGAGTACTCTGCTCCCTTCACAAAGGGCGATCTTATTAACAGTCTGGACACTATGTACTCTAAAGTCGCAGCCAAATTTCAATGCAAGCTGCACAAAACAACTAACACCCATTCTCAAGAATTGACTGTAGTTGGTACTCGCACAGATCATCTTGAAACAAAGCATGATGATCTCAGTTTGGCTTATAATAAGCTTCCTAGGGAGCATGAATCTCTTTCTAATGCTTTCACCCTGCTCCAATCTCAAGTGGAGGACTTGGATAACAGGAGTCGGTGCAGCAATTTGCGTATAAGAGGGATTCTAGAAACCATCACAGAATTAACCCCAGCCATGCAAAAGCAATTTTTTCTTCTTTGCCTGACCATGCCACCTCATCCTTTCTGTGTGATAGGTGATCTTTAGATCCTGGTTGGCCCTCGAGCAATTTTTTTGTTCTTTTGCTTTGGACCTGGGATGGCTGTGCTTTGAATACCTTGGTGGCACACCCTATCCTGCTCCGCTATATTGTAAACGTTATTTATAGTAGGTTATCATGACTACCTCTTGCCTTTCACATAACGTCAGGGATGTACTTCCCCTTATAAATGTAAGAAAGATTTTCTACATTATAAACATTTAGGAACTAAAGTACTAATGCTGCAGGAGACACACTTTTCTACGCATAGCTATCCACAGTTTTTTTCATAAATCCTTTAACCAGGCTTATTGCACCCTATTTTCTTCAAAAAGTAGAGGAGTAGCCATCTTTATTCATCACTCAATTTCTTTTGATTTGCAACATATTTATCGTGACCCTGAGAGCAGATTAATTATCATCAAGGGTTTAATAGCTGGTCGCGAAGCATTTATATCATTGTGAATATTTATGCCCCACATGACTCCCAAGCCTCTTTTTTCACCTCCTTTTTTCATATTTTGGATCGATACTCATCCTCTCATGTCATTTTAAGTGGTTATGTTAATTCCGTTGTCAATCCATCACTAGATAGAAGTTCTCATACCATCTCTACCAAAGCATTTCTCAAATCCCTTTCTAAACTTCTTTATACTAACCAATTAGTGGATTCCTGGCAGGCACATAATATTGGAGCCAGCAAATATACTTTTTTTTTCTGATCTCACAGAAGAGGTTGGAGTTGAATACCCTTTTATCCTCTATAACTGAAAAAGCGCTCAATTGGTCTAAGGCTAGATTCCTACTTCATAGAAACACATCCTCTATAATGTTCACTCGTAAACTCACCCAATCTTTGCGACCTTCTCATGTATATAAGCTTAGAGACCCATCAGGTAATATTGTCACCATGCCTGCAGAGATTAACCACATTTGTGAACAATTTTATTCCTCCCTGTTGGCTTCACTTTCCTCTTCCGCTCCATGCTTATTGGATTCCTGGCTAGATTCCATACCCCTTCCTATTTTATCATCCTCTCAGAGATCTACTCTTAACGCCCCATGCTTAGAGGAGGAAATAGTATGGGTTATTAAATCCCTTAAAAGATCTAATGCTCCAGGCCCAGATGGGTTCTCCACCATGTTTTATAAACAATTTCTCCCACTTCACGCCCCTAAGTTATCAACCTTATTTAATCATATTATGGAAGGTAACTTATTCCCTGAAGAGATATTTCTAGCCAACATGTCCCTTCTCTCGAAGCCTAATCTACTTCCCCAAAATTATAGGGCTATATCAGTCAATAATAACGATTTGGAAATTTTCAGTAGGGTTTTGGCAGATAGATTGGCCTCTATTACTTCAACTCTAACCTCTCCTGCTCAATTAGGGTTTATACCAAATAGATTAATCACAGATAACATCAGATTGGTCTCAAATGTTTTACAGGATGCCAATTTATCCTCAAAGCAGGTATTATTACTTAGTCTTGATATTGATAAGGTATTTGACAGTGTCCTTTGGCCTTAGCTGAATGCCTTGTTACAACGGTTTGGATTTAGGGGAGAATTTCTTCATGGCTACCATGCTTTGTATTATTCGCCCAAAACTAGAATACACATACCAGGTTGTAATTCGGAATTTTTCACATTGGGCAGGGGCACACACCAAGGTTGTCCTCTTCCTCCTCTATTGTTTGCCCTTGCTATGGAACCCCTGGCCACCACTATCAATTTTCACCCGGATATTAGCAAGTACTGTAAAGGTCATCAAGAATTCAAACTTTGTCTCTATGCGGATGACGTGATACTTTTTATCGTCCCCATATATCGTTACTGAATCTATTGAAAGTTTAATTAACCCCCTCTATGTGTTTATTGTTTGACCCTATTCCCAAGACTACTCGGCATGAGCAATGTCTAATTCACACTATTTGTGTTGCCACTATCTGGGCTATAGCACTACCATAAAAAAAATCCACCATAGTCCATGTTGGATACTTTTTAAATTGTACCCCTGACATTTAATGGAATAAAGTTGTATCTGGACCTCTTAGCAGTGCTGTGGCGCTTCAATTTCAATGCTTTCCTCTATGGGCTAGACCAGGGGTCCTCAAACTTTTTAAACAGGGGGCCAGTTCACTGTCCCTCAGACCGATGGAGGGCCGGACTAAAACTATGAACAAATGCGGACAGAGTACAGGAGATGACCAGAGACTGCGGACATACAACGGCGACGGGAATACTGGGCCGGCCGCTCCATAAGACGCACAGACATTCCCCCCCAAGTGTGTCTTATGGAGCGAAATAGTGCCCCATCATTGGTGTCAGTGGGAGGAATAGTGCCCCATCATTGGTGCCAGTGGGAGGAATAGTGCCCCATCATTGGTGTCAGTGGAAAGAATCGTGCCCCATCATTGGTGTCAATGAGAAGAAACGTGCCACATTATTGGTGTCAGTGGGAAGAAACGTGCCCCATCATTGGTGTCAGTGGGAGGAATAGTGCCCCATCATTGGTGTCAGTGGGAGGAATAGTGCCCCATCATTGGTGTCAGTGGGAGGAATAGTAACCCATCATTGGTGTCAGTTCGAGGAATAGTACCCCATCATTAGTGTCAGTGGGGGGAGGAATAGTGCCCCATTATTGGTGTCAGTGGGGGGAGGAATAGTGCCCCATCGTTGGTGTCAGTGTGGGGGGGAATAGTGCCCCGTCATTGGTGTCAGTGGGGGAAGGGGATAGTGTCCCAACATTGGTGTCAGTGGGAGGAATAGTGCCCCATCTTTGGTGTCAGTGGGAAGAATAGTGCCCCATCTTTGGTGTCAGTGGGAGGAATAGTATGTCATTGGTGTCAGTGGGGGGGAATAGTGCTCCGTCATTGGTGTCAGTGGGAGGAATAGTGTCCCATCATTGGTGTCAGTGGGAAGAATAGTTCCCCATCTTTGGTGTCAGTGGGAGGAATAATACGTCATTGGTGTCAGTGGAGGGGAATAGTGCCCCGTCATTGGTGTCAGTAGGGGGGATAGTGTCCCAACATTGGTGTCAGTGGGAGGAATAGTGTTCCATCGTTGGTGTCAGTGGGGGGGATAGTGCCCCATCATTGGTGTCAGTGGGGGAAGGAATAGTGTTCCATCGTTGGTGTCAGTGGGGGGTAGAATAGTGCTCCATCGTTGGTGTCAGTGGGGGGGAGGAATAGTGCCCCATCGTTGGTGTCAGTGGGGGGGAGGAATAGTGCCCCATCGTTGGTGTCAGTGGGGGGTGGAATAGTGCCCCATCGTTGGTGTCAGTGGAGGGTGGAATAGTGCCCCATCGTTTGTATCAGTGGGAGGAATAGTGCCCCATCACTGGTGTCAGTGGGGGGAGGAATAGTGCCACATCATTGGTGTCAGTGGGGGGAGGAATAGTGCCCCATCGTTGGTGTCAGTGGGGGGGGAGGGAATAGTGCCCCATTGTTGGTGTCAGTGGGGGGAGGAATAGTGCCCCATCGTTGGTGTCAGTGGGGGGGAGGAATAGTGCCTCATCATTGGTGTCAGTGGAGGAATAGTGCCCCATCGTTTGTATCAGTGGGAGGAATAGTGCCCCATCACTGGTGTCAGTGGGGGGAGGAATAGTGCCACATCATTGGTGTCAGTGGGGGGAGGAATAGTGCCCCATCGTTGGTGTCAGTGGGGGGGAGGAATAGTGCCCCATTGTTGGTGTCAGTGGGGGGAGGAATAGTGCCCCATTGTTGGTGTCAGTGGGGGGGAGGAATAGTGCCCCATCATTGGTGTCAGTGGAGGAATAGTGCCCCATCATTGGTGTCAGTGGAGGAATAGTGCCCCGTCATTGGTGTCAGTGGGAGGAATAATGCCCCATCATTAGTATCAGTGACACCAATGATGGGGCACTATTCCTCCCGCTGACACCAATGACACGTAACTTGCTGACCCCTGCTCCAGCCTACGTGCTACTGCAGCCAGCATACCTGGTTGCAGCAGCACCATCAGCACGGCACACTTACCTGTCAGCTGTCCTTCTTCACTCCGGCCTCTCGCTCACTCGATGTTCGCAGGTGATTGGTCGTCTGTGTGTCTTTTCTGAGCTACAGTTCTGGTGCCCAATCACCGGTGAGGAGGTGGAGCCGAGCGGCAGGAGTGAGGGAGTGGCCGGAGTGAATGAAGGACCAGCTCTTCCTGGACTGGATCGTCGTGGGACTGGGACCGGAGCCAGGTAAGGTACAGCAGCCCCCTGCCCACCCCTGTACTTAGTGTCCCTTCCTGTCCCGCCCCTGCCAGCGGGCCGGATAAATGGCCTTGGCGGGCCGCATGTGGCCCGCGGGCCGTAGTTTGAGGACCCCGGGCTAGACGAATGGGGAATGGATCCTCCATCCGTCTGTTTTTAGCAGATTGGATGCAGGCAGGTGTGAACAGACACATTTCTGTTAAAATCTGCAGCTCCATGTAGGGCAATAGATGGTTTGATGGGTATGCCTGAAAAATGGACAGGCGGACCCGACCGGTCCACCTGTGTGAAAGGGGCCTTAGGATTATTAGGCAAGTGAGAACCCATGAGCCTGTCCTTTTTAAGATATACCAATGTTTGGGCAAAATTTGTTCAATAGATTATAATGACAATTGAACCCAGTAAGGAAGACCCACACTATATCTTAATTATTTTTTTACTGTTCTTTCTTATATTCAATTAAGTGGATGGTGATGTCACACTCTCCAACCTGTCCAGTCAGAGTATGCTTTGCATTCATTCATTAATTTGAGTGCCAAACCTCCTGTGTTCATAAAGGAGCCGCTCAGCCTTGGACAACAAAGCAAGCGGCAATCACTGGAGTAGTAGCAATCTAGTTTCTACTTCAGTGATTTCAAGCTTCCAGTAGCATTGACCAGGTATGTCATATACATAGTTACTTTGGTTCAAGCTTGACCAATGTACTATGTCTGGAATTATTCTTAAATAATGTTGTAAAAGCTAAAACATTCCCATTTCTCATACCCTCCAGACCAGGTGATTAGATTCATCAGCTGGCATCTGGCATGAAATGTAACATCCCTCACATAGGTAAATATTGGCATTATAAAGTATTGAGCAGATCTACATTTGAGTGCTGGCAAGATCTAACCTAGAATGACCTTTTCAGACAATCCAGCTATCAACATTCATACAGAATTTTGGGGGTTCAAAAGCATCCCATTTATCAGGGCTTTATTGAAAATAATGTAAATGGACTAGAAGTGAACTGGAACTTTAATGTTATTTTTTCCAGTGTAATTAAAAGCACAGGTCTTGTCAGCAGCCAGTTTGGCTAGGGTAAAGTGATTGTAAACCCAAACTTTTTTTTAAAAACAAACTTGTCATACTTACCTGCTTTGTGTAATGGTTTTGCACAGAGCAGTCCCAATCCTTCTATTCTGGGTTCCCCTGCCAGCGCTCCTGGCTCCTCCCTGTTGTTGAATGCACCCAGAGCAAACCTTTTGCAGTAGAGGCACTTGTGCATCCTTGATCCTGAGCCATGCTCTGTGTGTCTATAGACACACACAAGGTGGTTCTTCCCAACTCCCACTCTCTCCTCACTGGCTGTGATTGAAAACAGCAGCAATCAATGGCTTCCTCTGCCGCCTCCATGGCCAGCGAGAAGAGAGAGAGTGAAGAGATCCGCTTCCCTCAGGCACAGTGCTGGATCAAGATCGGGCTCAGGTAAGTGTTTAAAGGGGGTGCTGCAGGGAAGGTGAACAGTTTTTTTTACCTTGATTCAGAGAATGCATTAAGGAAAAAAAAATGCCTTTAGAACAACTTTAAATAATTATCTGAGTTCAAAGACTGCTGCATGTGCAAAAAAGTGGGGAGGAAATTGTTGAGTGAAGCTATCTTGGTAGTCTTGTTTTGACTGAGTTTTGCAGCCATATGTCTGTCATAATTTGACTGTTTTTCAGATTGTTAAAGAATTTGTGGTTTTAAGAAAAACCAGATAGAGTAAAATCATCTTCAATCTAGTAAGTGTTGATGTGTGGTTGTATAGTTTGTTTCTAAGATGTAAAGAAATTTTAGATTTGGAGTTAGTCTGGTAGCCTCACTTGTTCAAAGAAAATGTCAATATTCCAATCGCACACGATCCGATCCTGGGACATGCTCAGTAGTGAAGGGTGCTGTAGCAACAGCCAGCTGGAGACTGGGGCCATGCACAGAACAATGTATATATTTGCCAGCACACCACGGATCTTTGGAGAAAGTCCAGGCAGTTTTGACTTTAAGAAAGATCACATCACAGCTAAGTAGTGCAACATTTTGGAACTGTGCAGGACCCCCTCCTTCAGGCATGTGATAAATGCATACAGTTGTAAGAAGATATTTAAAGTGGATTGTCACTCTCCACCCCACCTCCCCATCATTGTGAAGACTGGGCTTCCTTTTTTTTGTTTCCTTTTTTCTAATGAAAACCCACTGGTCTAACCCCCCCCCCCCCCCCCCCCTACGTTTTGTAATTCACCTAGGCATTTTGCCTGCTGTGCCTGATGGGATAAGTTATTCACATATCCCAGGAGGCATAGTCCTTCACTGAGAAATATGGAAGGGGTGGAGTCAGGCAGAGTTCCATATGGAAGCTGCCGGCTGACCCCAGAGGAGTCAGCAGCTTCCTAATGACGTCACCGAAGAAGATGGAGGAGTGACACAGCAGGGGGGGGGGAGCAGAAAAGAAGAGGATCTCAGCAGGACAATGCTGGATCCATTGGGCGGGTGAGTACCTTAAATGTACAGGACCCGCAACTAGGTAAGCGGGGTTAAAAAATAAGGGCAGAGATCCAATTTAAATAAACACCCACCAATCACAGACAAGAGAAAAAGAGACACCCCTCACCCTCTGAGATGGTATAATGTCATAGATCCCACCAAATTGCTCTAATAACCATAAATAACACATTAAACAATGCATTTGCTGTCATGTTCACAGAATATCCCATAAGGACATGTAAACACAATGTTCAGGGACATGGCCATAGCACAAAAATAAAAAATGCAAGGTCATTTTGTTGATCTTACACATCTGCCAGATGCACCTGATCAGAAGAACGCAGCCAACAGAGTCCTGGTGTCACTGTTCTCCAGGCATCCAGACTTGGCAGCAAATCACACATATAGTAAGTGTCTCTCTCGACACCAAGGATCAGCAATCATGAAGCTGTGCAGTGCCAGCTCCAGCTGTGATCTGTCCCTGAAGACATCAGATTGTAAAAAAGGAGCAGAGCAGGGCTTATTGGACATGTGATGTCATCCTGTCAGTGGCAGTTGTTCACATGGAGTGGGCACTGCTTAACATCATTATCAACCATCCTTGGTGTCGAGAGAGATGCTTACCATATGTGAGTTTAATGATTTGTTTTCATAAAGTTGTTAACACATGTTTTTACACAATAGAGGCTTTTTGTTCTTCACTTTCCATGTAATATATTAGCATCCTCTGGAGGAAGTAAGCTGGTCCTGGGAGTGTTATACATGAGCAAGAGAGACCCATATTATAATAAAGCGTCCATATTGTTAGTGAGTTGTTGGTGTGGCTGGAGAAGGAATCGCAGAAGTGCTGGATGTTTGGTACACTAAACGTAATATGAAGAAGTAGCACTTTTTGGATTCAGGCAATGAGGATTTCATGACGAGTGATTATTGCACTTGTGAAGCACTGAACACTTTGGGGTTGATTTATCAAAACTGGAGAACACAAAATCTGGTGAAACTCTACATAGAAACCAACCAACTTCAAGTTTTTTTGGTCAAAGCTTAATTATTCAAGCTGAAGTTAGAAACTGATTGGCTACCATGCACAACTGCACCAGATTTTTCACTCTCCGGTT